GAAGCAAAATAAAGGGAGCTCTGAACTTTTTATTTATATTTATACCACTTATAAGGTAAATACATCATACGAAAGAAAAAGCACCTCTTTGAACGAAGGAAATCTCCCCATCGCTCGCACCTGAGCTCCGCAGAGCAGGAAGTGAGTGGAGGGCGGGCGAGCGAAATCCAGCGCTCCCCTGAGCTCCGCAGAGCAGTGTGTGAGCGGCCTGCGAGTGAGTGAAAACCAGCACTCCTCTGGTTTTCCCTCACTCCCTCCCACTCCCCTCCTGCTCTGTGGAGCTCAGGGGAGCGCTGGTTTTCACTTAGGGAACACGTTGCTCGCTCTGCTCTGCGAGGCTCAGGGGAGCGCCGGCTTTTCCAGCTTTTCGCTCGCTTGCACGCCGCTCACCTCCTGCTCTGTGGAGCTGCCCCAGTTACAGCCCTGGCTCAAAGGAAGGCTCCACTCTCCCAGCCCTGCCACTTGAGTATTGGCATATAACACGCAGCTAGGATTTCAGCCCCAATTTTAGGGAAAAAAGTGTGTTATACGTCGATAAATACAGTACTTGTCTAGTTCAGCATTCACAATCCATTCTCCTTGGTTCTAATCTCTCAAGCTCTCTACCTTTTCCTTTCTTCTATAATAACCCCAGTCTTCTGCCTGTATTGCCTTTCTGTGTAGCCTGGGTGGGACGCTTAAATGTCTGCCACCCATGTCATGCATGGGCCTATCTCTGCTCAACTGCCCTCAACAGAGCATGGAGACTGCAGTTTGGTTGGTGGCCTGCTGACAATCCCCTCATAAAGGTTTTTTTGGTAACTGAAGTCTACATTAACTTTGTAAGTCAGTTTTTATTGAAGTAGGACATTTGTCCTAGTCACTTGGATTCCTCTGATGTACACAGGAAGCTACAGCACAGGTTTAAACCTTGCTTATCAAGGAAGCATTTCTTCTACCAGTTTCTAAACGCAGTAGAGAGCCACTTCGGTGTAGTGGTTAAGGACATACATACATACCAGGAGACTGTGAGTTCTAGTCCTGCCTTAGGTTCAAAGCCAACTAGGTGACCTTGGGCCAGTCACTCTCAGGCCTAGGAAGGAGGCAATGGCAAACCACTTCTGAAATCTTGCCAAAAAAACTGCAGGGACTAGTCCAGGCAGTTACCAGGAGTCAACACTGACTTGAAGGCATAAAAATGCAACAACAACCCCACAACAGAGACTTGAACTTCAGCTCCCACTTCCTAATCCTTTATTGTCACCATTACAACATTAGTTCAACGTCTCTGAAACCAGTTTTAACCTAGACCCAACAACTCAAGGAGAATGGATGGTCAATGTCTGCCACGATTAGCAGGGTCATTAAAGGTGGTAGTGGTGGCATAACTGGTAGAGCTGTCCAAGGAAACCAGAGTTCTTTTACTTAGATCTCAAATGGCCAGTCAGTACTGTAATGAAAAAGCCCATTACTGCGGCTAATGGAAGACAAGTGACTAGAACACTAACACTGATAACGCAGTGGGAGCTTACCAGGACTCAAAGAACAGCTACTGACAGACAATCCTGATGAAATGATGCCCATCATGTCACGAAGAGTCAGAAGCAACTGAATTTCTCAACAACAAACAGACCCACAACTACAGAATATTCTCAGATTTACAAACAATTTTATTGAAATTTAACAAAATTCAACAAATGCACTTCAAGGCAGAGGAGATAGATATTACACGTTTGCCTCCAGGATTCCTTTGTGTATGCTACGAGAACAGAAAGGGTAGTGCTAGTGGGTTCAGTTCTACACAATCACACACTTGCACAGAAGAATCATTAAAACAAAATAGAGCCTTTTGCTTATTCCAACCATAGTGATATATGTCAATATCAGTATTTTTGTCTATATACCAACATCATCTGCTTTCACAGTTTCAGCATCCCATATAAAGTAGTCTCCACAAGCCCTCTCCCTCATCGCAGCTGCCATTTGCAAGAGGAGCAGGGCTGCTAGAAAGCACGATGAGAGGGGTAGTAGAATCCCAGCAGCCCAACTGCACAGCTGGAGACACAGTGGACAGGCAAGCCAGCCTTTGAGAGATGAGGAGGAGATGGCAGCTGCCAGCATTCTCCTGGGAGTTTACTGCAGCTTAGGAAATGTCAAGCTCGGCAATAATGAAACCTGCTGTGAGTAGAGGCTCCATTTAGATGCCAGTCAGAAAAAGATTGGGAGCAAGTGGCTGCACAAGTCACAAGGAAATGAAATCCAACATAGCACAGTACTTTTCTGATCACAGGGCATTTGCTTGCTCGAAAACAAAATAACCACTGGAAGAACATAAATCAGGTGTTTTAGAAAATGTAGATGTGAGAAAGACTGTTACCAACAAGCCTTTCACTATCTCCCGTGAATAAAATCCCATATATTGGGGAGCAGAATATTCCATTCTGAAGATGCAATATGACCCCAACGCTGAGCAAACTGCTTCTTCTGACCTAGTTTTGAGGTAAGCTTCTTGACAGGCAGCCTTCCCCACAATTACTCAAGAAGTAGCATAGTTCAGCTCCTTGATGACAACCTATGATTCATTATGGACCATCAGGCTGAGATGGAGTATTGTTGGCCAAGCAAGTTTGCAAACTCATCTCGATGCGCAGGATGCTCTTGTTTCATTGCAATGAAATTTCCTTCCCTAATAAAGATCAGAAATGTCAGATTCTGATTATCACACTGTTGAAAGTGAATCAACGCACAGATTTCGCTACACAATGGAGGAAAGAACAAGACTCAGTGTTGGATGGTTATGCACTTTCTATTCACAGATAACTGTACAACTGTAAATTCATAACCTGAGGTCTGCATGGCAAAGCAATGGCAACCGAGGAAACAAATGGGAACAGCTATGCTCCACGTACCGCTCCTAATACAGATCACAGACTTGCAGCTAAGAGGGGCAAAGATAAGAGAGTGAATAGGTAGACCTCTGTCAGCATTGCTATACACATTCCATGACTCTTCTACTTAGGCTTTTAATGCTTAAAAATGGTTTCCTTGCATGGGCAGAGATGAAGGGATGTACAACAGTAGCTTATTAATATTGCTGATGCAAATGTGTACAAGCTGATTATACTGAACATTGAGGTAGCAATGCCTGAAGTGCTCCGAAAGGCAATGACATGCTCTGGAAAAGAAAGTATGATGTGCAATGAACCCACCCACACTCCAGTTGTAAAGCTTAATACACATTCTGATGAGTGGGTAAAAAAGGCAGGCAGGCAGGCAAGGATCTTTTGGCTGTACATTGCATATGAAAGCCTCTTCATAAGAGTGCCTTTAAGAGGGTTTGCCTGATCACATCTCAGCAGCAGGTAGCTCTATGTTGTGAAGAGGGGATGAAGAAGCAGACAAGCTGCTTCAGTACTTGCACAGGTACTAGTACCATAGCAAAACATTTCACATTCATACATCAGGGAGAAGGGTAAGGCCCTTCAAAATAGAAAAGATATAACCTTCCTTTGAAGTGTGCTGCATTCTCCCCCATCAGACACTACTTGGTCCAATCCAAGGAGTCTGCCAAAGGAAGATCACAGGATTTTATTATTATTATTTGCTGGCAGAGGGAGACGAAGAGAAAAACACACAGCCAAATTAGGTGGCAAACATCTTGACCAAAATAAAGTTGTCTTAGTAGTGACAGAATAAACCTAAGAGAGAGATGGAAACCTTTGGCTCTCCAGCAATCCCAGAGAACATGGCTGATGGTGGAGGATGCTTGAAACTGCAATTCAGCAACATATGGAGGACCACAGGTGGAGGTTCTCCATGCATAACATGGGAAACCAATAGATGAACAAGTCATTCTACCACAAGAATGGAGAGAGAAGTCAGTTCTTCCAATATGGGGCTCCCCAGAGGAGGTCCTGGACTATGAATCTCATCACGTCCAGTTACCAGAGTCACTGGCCCTACAGTCACCATGGTCTAATATTTATTGGAGGGCTCTAGGTTAGGGAAGGATGACGTAGTTTCACAATGCCCTCTTGAAAGATAAATGCTTCCTAAGATGTAATCTGTTTGGTGAGCTTTAACAGAAAAGCTTCATATCCAGATGCTACTTCACACCTTCAGTCCAACCTGCAAAGTTGAAAAAAACAAAACCTACAAAGAAGGTAGTGCAACTCGCAAGGGAGATATAATAGAGAGAGGAAAGCCTACTTGTTGGTCTGTTTCCCATGACCACTTCAAGACTGATTCGATTTTGAACAGTTTATTAAGTGCAATATTACTCTCCCTGCTTCCACAAAGAAATAGTACAGCATTAGTTTTTCAGCCTAGGCTTATAAGGTAAATGGGTGGGTGGATAAGGAAGCATAGTAGGTTTTCTGCTCACCTTTACTCATCTTGAAGAAATACATTGAAATTTCACTATCAACTTTTGTAGAAGTTGCCTGGGGTATTCACACAGAACATCTGTTCGAAAAAAAGTGCAAATTGGCTCTCTGGTGTCAAGATACTTGACATCTGCTGCCACCTAAGCATCAATTAGCAGCTGATAAAAAGGTTTTAGTTGACTCAGTGAAAGAAATTTTGAGCAGGCTTCTAATCAAGGCCTGATTTCTCATCTAACACAGGTCCCACTAATATACATCCTTAGACAATATTATGCCTGATAGTCAGAGATGTACCCAGTGCTGCAATTGCTATCACTGCCTCCAAGCAGAGAAGCATCAAAGCCCGCTGTCCGTTTGTGCTCCCAATTCATCCTCTGCAGGGATATGTGGCTGTCTAGTATGGTTTACATGAGGTACAGTAAAACCAGGCAAATAAGAAGTACTGACAGCACACAGTAACTTTCTCATGGCTCAGACCTCACAGATGATAACAGGGAAGTCCACATGAATCCGAGGGTGCTCCAGTTTCACTGTGCCCTGGAAAAAAAAGGATACAATGTGAGTGAAATGTCACCAAAACACTTTCAAGAAGCAGGTTACAATGACCTTCACACCTAAGACAGGTAAATACAGGTTGTGCTGATAAACTGCAAATAACCAAAAATCTGAAAACCATAGAAAAGCAAGCAGTCTAACACAGGTCATATTGTTGGGCTGAAGATGACTTAAGTAGTCATTTATCTGCAGAAAGAGACTGAGGAATAGTACCAGAAAGTAACAAGACCCTTAAAATTTGCATCAAACGGCTTATTTCTACCATTAGAGAAAACAAACTGGTAGAGATCAAATTAGCACACAGAGAAATAGGAGGTTTAATCCTTCCCAATGTAACTTGCACGAGCTGAAGTTAGTCCATGGGCTATTTGACTAATGAATCAGGCTGCAGAGCAAATAACAGGTATAAGTCATTTTAGACTCCTGGAGACCACACAGAGGGAAGAGAGTAGGACTAAAAAAATGTTACTAGCAAAGAGGATTAATATTTCTTATCAGGGCCTTGAGCAAAGTTAGCCCCCAATCCTCTACAGCTGCATTTATCATTTTTTAAAACTGCAAATGTTCCAATCACTATATTCCATGTCATTCTGTAATTCAGATGTTTTCCATCCAAGAAAGATGCCCAATTTTTTAAAGAAAAAAACCCATTTGAAAAAAGGAAGGCTAGTGAATAACTGAATGAATGTGAATGAATACAGCTAAGTGAAAGTGCATTAGAATCTGTGTGCTAGATTCTCCAGCATCCTGACTAGGAGCTATAGTATCTTCCAGCGCTGCCTCAGAAAATAGGCTGCGTTTGAGAAGCTTGGTTCAGTACAGCGACCAAAACTATATTCTCATGTTAGTTTTATCCCATAAATATAAAGAGCCAAAGTACAAAACAAAAGTTACGCCATCACTATTTTAATACTATTTTTAAACCGTAAATGGTAAGTCTCTGAAGTCCAAAATATCAAAGTGCTATTCAAAGAACAAAACCGTTTTTCAAGATGGTTGGTTTGTATAGATGGAATCAAAAGGAAAGCATTCATAGTTTCTGGAGGAGAATTACTATTCTGATAGGCATTCAATGGCTAGATCTGACGCTGGATGCAGAGATGGCATTTCCAATTAACTATGCATACCTCTGGTATGCTAGCCAGAGACCAGGGGGAAAATATAAATCTCTTGTATGTGCCATACAAGTAACAAGGAACAGTATAAAAAGAAGAGCAACATTTGGTCAAAGCAAAACCAAATCAAATTGCAAAAAAGATACTGTATTAACAAGGATTACGTAAAGACAGGCTAGAAGAATCATTGCTTACTTAGTTACAGAACACCATTTATGGTCTCTATCTTTAGCCTTTGGTATTTCATTTGGATTGTTTGAAAACAAATATGGACTATTCTAAACATCTGCTTATGCTTGATTGTGTGGTTTACCTTCAGAAACGAGGCATTTATTCCTTCAAAGGAAACTCTCACCCAAGTATATCAATGATATCAAAGTTACAATGCTTCATTCTGAACAAATATTTTAGATGTCAGATATAGCAAAAAATCCCTGATGAGGAAACAGGCTGAAATAGACTCCAAGGGTTCCAACTGCAGCAATTTCAAGATCTTTGCTGCAGAATCAAACACTGTTTCCTCAGACTGAGGAAAGCAATCTTAAAGTCTCTATTTTCTTACAATCAATCCAACAGTATTGCCAATACAAAAAACATTTACAAGCTCTACAAAGTCTAGAAGCATAATCTAGTCTAGTTCTCCCTAATCTGGTATAATACTGGACCAGAGTCTGGGAGCTGCAATTTTATCAAATATGAAGATGAACAGGTTGAAAACACTGGATCAAACTGTCTTGTTTAGTGTTCTTCAGCGTTAGTTTGAATCCAAAACACAGTAATAAACATTACCTGAGGTATCAGGTTCTTGTGAATTCTTTTGAGCTTGGCACGCTTCCTCCCATTCTTGGTGATGATTGTCTCCTCATAAAACTCATGGGCAAGGTCACCATCCTCATCATAATACATAGAGCTGCAAAGAAATGAGAACATTCAGAAGAAAGAATCAGCCAAGAAGGACGAAATGAAGCAGTGTACAGATCTTGCTAACTCTCATTAGCAGCCAGAGAGATGACATCTGCTGCTGCCATCCATTTGTTCTCTCTCCGTCTCTTCCATAAACGGAGTTTCAGTTATTTAGGAAATTATTTGTATATTGGTTATGGAACTGGATTCTTTTTTTAAAAAAAAATATCTTGATTTTCTAAGCAGGACTGAAACATACTTTTGGAATGAAAACTTTATATAGTGAGATTGATTTCAAATCACTAAAGGTGAAGTCTCAAATGGATTCTTCTGCAGGTTGGAACAAGCAACAAGAATAGTTGTACACTTTGACTTCCAATCATTTTCAGTTCAATAAAACTTACGCAAATGGTGAATTACCATTTTATATGACAGTCATTAACAATTTACAACAGGTAAGATGAAAGAGACTTGTCTTGAGGCTCAGTTCTTCACAGTTAAAATCCATGAGTACATATTCACAGAAATGTGAAATATCTCAAAGGTATTATATTTTTTTTAATAATTATATAATATAATATAATATAATATATAATAATATAATATAAAATTATATATTTTCATGTTTGTTAAAAAAACATAAAGAGAAAAAAAATAGTAAAACTGTTCAAGTAATAAGATGCCACAAGTAAAGTGCCATGCATTAATGTACCATGAATATCCAATACAACGGGGATTACTGGTTTCAAAGGGTTTCCTTATATTTCAGAAAAGGATTTGGATCATTATTTGCTACATATATGTAGGTTACTTTTTCCAGCAACTAATTGCTTCAAACTGTATTTTACTACATTTAAACAGTCTAATGCATTGCCAAATCTAATTGCAGACATTCTCCACCACCAACGTTGGGTTCTGCAGTAAAACAATGTTCAGATAACTGAAGATTTTTGCATTTCCGTTTTTTTCCATACTTGCAACTCCATATGAAAACCGACTTGTACTTTGCCTTAATAATTAATGGAAGCAGAGTGAATGAGAATTGGAGGAAGAAACGGAAGGCTAAGTGGGAACAGCCAAGTATATACTATACAAATGAGAAGTAAAATGCTGCAGTCTACCAGCAATGACATTTCATTTAGGAACTCTCAGCCAGCCACTCAGCAACAACACATTTCAGTCATCACTCAAGAAGCTGTGCATTTTGACAAGTTTAACTAATTTAACCAACAGGATGCTCTGACAGACATGCCATTTCTTCCAACACACAAACATGCATTGTAGGATTATAGAATTGGAAAGGACCAGCAAATCTAAGAGCCAACTTAATGCATAAATCCAAATTAAAGCACCCCTGATAGATGGCTGTCCAGTAAACACAATCAAGGAAAGGAAGTTACCAAATCTCTGGGTAAGTTTCACTGTTAAGCCAATCCATCAGGAAGCTATTTGTACAATTCAGCTCAGGAACTTGCTTTTCTGTAATTTAAATCCTTTATTCTGCTCTTTGGGATGATGAAGCACAGGTCTTTTTTGCAGTATCCTTTCAGGTAAGAGTTCTACTATATTTTCCCTCCCTGCTTTCAGCTTTTTCTGTTCAATGCTAATATTTCTGGATCTTCTCTCTCTCTATTCATAAGATTTAATTCATTGTCCTCTAATCATCTTCATTACCCTTTTGTGCATTTGATCCCAATTTCTCTGAATCTTTCTTATAAGAAGTCTTCCTATCCTGATAATTTCTATGTCTGTTAACAGTTACAACTGATGTTATTCCTGACAACTTAGCTAACCCTGGACTACAAAAGCTACTGAATTATGAATGAATGTGTTCCTCAAAGATTTTGCAGAATGGGCTGCAAAGTACTTCAAATGCTGAATTAATGTCAAAGTAAAAAGCTGTATCACAAGCAATCTGGAAGAAGAGAGGACTATAAATTGAGACTTCTCACTCTCAACCAATAGAGCAGAACTGACACTAGATTATCAACATTTTCAAGGAGATACATGGCAAGCTATCATTATCTTGCAACAATATTCGACATTAAAGTGCCCCTTTCTGCTCCACTGAACCTTCATGGGGGCATTTTTTACTATCCATATGAAGTGCATTATATATTTTGCAGAAAATAAACACCAAGGCAGCAAGGTAAATTCTTTGTTTCCTAGCTCCAGAACATTTCCGCCTTCAGTATCACACCAAAGTGAATTATTTATTTCTCCTGAGGCGAATTATTTATTTCTCCTGAGAAGAAGACCACAGCTGCCATCAACACCTCTGGCTTTGCTACTATTTCACTCTTGAGTAAGCAAAAATCTGGAAAAGGCTCTAATGCTGGGAAAGATAGAAGTAAAGAGAAGAAGAGGGAGACCAGCAGCAAGGTGGATGGGCTCAGTTACAGTGGCAATGAGTGCACCATCGGAAGACCTGAAAGACCAGGTTAGGGACAGATCCTCGTGGAGAAAATCTGTCTATGCTAAAAGTCGAAAACGACTTGAAGGCACATCATTGTCACCAACGGCGACGAAGTTGTCCGCGAGCGGGTGGCTCACGCCCTACAAGGTTTCCCAAAGTAGCGTCTCAGAAGTGGCTCTGCCCAAAATCTAAAGCTCCCATGGTGTCTTTGGGCGCCCCAAAGCCGGTGGCTGGCGGAGGGAGAAGGATGGGGGGATCGGGCAGCTTCATTCTATTCTTCCCACTGCGAGGAGCCGGACTAGGAAAGGCATCTGGTGGGAAGCGCCCGCCGCCCTGCTCGCTTGGGGTCCAAAGTTCAGGGCAAGCCAAGCCCGCCGACCGCACAGCCCGCCCCGTCCTCCCGTTACTGCTGAGGCCAACCTAGCATCCCGCTTACCCGCGGCGGGTGAAGACGAAAGGGGTGGCTGAGCAGAGTCCCCGCGCTCGGGCCAGCGCCTGATCGCCGCTCGGCCTCTCGGAGCCCCCTGGCCCACCCGAGCCAAAGAGCCAGAGGCCTCGAGACCTGGAGCCGCTGGCGCCCATGGCTCAGAGCGGCGGCATGACCGCGAAAGGAGGGACGACCCACACAACCCCCCCCCCCCCGGGGGCCAGCCAAAGAAGCCCCCCCCCCCCGGGG